TGACTTTGCTTATTAGGAACCTAGAAATCCCAACATAAAATCTACTAGGAAGAGGAAAGTTGCTAAGGAAAAACTTCCAGTAAGTGCCATGGTTTGAACTATGTATTCACCATTCAGATTTTCATATCATGCCTACCAAATTATTATTTGTTTTAGATAAGAAGGAGAGATGGTAGAGAGCAAAGTAGCGGACAACAAAGTATGCAACTAAGGCAAAGGAAACAAGCAAGTGGTTCCCAAGGGCCTTCTCAATCCCAAACATCTCAAGTAGCCCAGGCTTCTCAATCCCAACCATCTCAAGCAGCTTAGGCTTATCAATCCCAACCTTCTCAAGTAGCTCAGGCTTCTCAATCCCAACCATCTCAAGCAGCTCAGGCTTCTCAAACATGTGATTCATCTCAATCTGCCAAACTATCTCGAATACAAAAACGTAGGAGGAGGATGAAAGATCAGCAGAGGTGCCATTTTTTCAAAGATCCTTTTTTTCATCCTTAGATGTGATGATGTTGAACTTTTGCAACAACCTGTTTTTGAATTAGGATAAACTCTTTTTGAATTATGGTTTCATGGAAGAATGGTTTGAATGTTGTGGAATTATAGATTCTGCAATTGGTTAGTTTTGTGAGACTTTAATGTCTTCATGGTTGCAATTGGGTTGTTGGTTTGGTAACACTTTGATGTCTGTGATGGTTGGTTTTATTAGGCTTTCATGTCTATGAAGGTTTTTGAGTCACGTACTTAGATGTAATTGACCATTTGATATGTAATGTGATGGTTGTGGTGTGATGCTTATCAGTATGTCACCATTTGATATCCAATGAACAAGATATGGTTGTAACCTTTTACTGGTTTCCATTCATATCACAGTACAAAGAAAACTTAAAACTCAAAACAAATTACAATGAAGTATCGCTTATTGATCAAACTCAAAACAAATTACATTGTTTTCCCACCAAATTACATTACATTATACCCACTGAACTACTGCTTTTGGTCTCAAATTACATTGCTTATTGAACTACTGCTACTGGTCTCAAGTAGCCCACAATATTCTTGACTTTGCTCGAATCTTTGCATTTTCCTTTTCCACCCTATCAATCTTCTTCAGCAAACCAGGTATCAAAGACTTTGAACGCTCACACATTTCTTCATCAAACCACTGAAAAAACATACATCCTTTTTCTCCACTTTCCTGTATCAACCAAGAACAATGACTCAAAATTTCCTTTTGATCAATGACTGAAAATTTCATCAATAAGAACTCTATCAATTTGTGATGCCCAAAACAATGACTGAAAATTTGATCTTAAACATTCTTACCTTTGACTTTGGGCAGACTAGAAATTTCCGCCCTGGGTTTGAAGTGGTCCACGAAGTCTACGTCCGTGCTAACTTCCCACAATGACACCATTGGGCATGCCTTACTTCTCCTGTTTCCATCTCTTCTTCAATTCAGTCAGTATTCGCACAGAGAAGAACCAACTGAACCTCCAAATCTGAAATCCCCCTTCCCCCTTTCCTCCCAAATCGTGCGACCCCCTTCCCCCTTTCCAAAATCCGAACTCCACCTCAAATTTTCATAAACCCTAGCCTTCTTCTTCCAATTTCCCATTCTCACCCAAATCCCCCCTTTTCTGAAACTGAATAACCCTTACTCTCCATTGTTAAGTGATTGAAAAGAAATGGAGTCCACACCACGTAACGGAACGTCTCTTAATACTGATAGAACGAGTAACATGAGCTAGATTTTAAAAGTGTATGGGGTATTTTGAGACATTTCAAAACACATGTGGTAATTTGAGACAACTTTGAAAGCACAAGGGGCATGTACTAAATAAGCCTAAAATAAAATATATTAAAAACCTTAGGAACTTATCTCCAATCGCCGGCCCTTGACCGGTCACACTGTTCACTGTTCATAACACTGTTCACATGTGATAAAGTGGTGATAAAATGGCAATAGAAAATGCTGTTTGTGTTTTTGTTTAGTTTTCTTGTGTTGTTTCAATTCTTGTGTTGGTTACACTGGTGATTTCATTGATGACTCTTGTGGTTTTGTTGTCCATGAAATCTTTGGTGAAAACAAAAGAAGGAGAAAAGAGGAGCTAGTGTCTTTTGTATGTTGGATTATTTATCTTCTATGCAATGAAAATAACACACCTAGAGAAGAAAAAAAAGAAAAGGAAACACCCTAATTAAGCAAGAGAAAGTGACGCCACTATGTAAAAGAATTGTATCTGCTCCAGTATTTCTTTCGCATTTCTTGAGCCCCTTTGTTCCACTCTTGAAAACAACTCATTGCCAAGGTGTTCACCGATGTGTGCATCGATGAGCACTCCGCCCACACTCCTATAACTGTTGGCAAGGGTTCGACCAACTTTAGCCGCATCATCTGGTTGGTTCACTACAATGGGGCTTCCTCCGTTGAAAATCTCAAGCTTGTTTATGGTGAATGAGCCATCAGCTTCCACTACTTCCTTGAAGTCTTGTAAGCTTGAGGCATACACAGGATAGTTGAAACTATCACGTTTCTCACTAGTGATAAGACCCTGCAAAAAAAAATTGATAATTAATCTACACACTCACACGTTTATGTCAAAAGTAGTAGTGTAGCTTATACAAAAACATAATCTAAAGCTAAATATTTATTTTACGAAATTTATCAGCATATGGCCGATCACAAATTTCTTATAAAAGAGAGTGTCTTCCATCCGGTAGGTTGTAATTATATGCTCTCATAATTCATGACATGACAAATTTGGGATGGATTAGAGTTCAAACTGAGAACAAATGACTATCACATTTTTGAACTCTTGCTAACAAAAGAATAATGTCCTAATATTATATCTAATACATGAAACATTACTCATATATTAGAGTCAGAGCACGATTTTTCCCAGAAAAAAAAAAAGCAATTTACTGTAAAGTCATCGACACCAACCATGAACATATTGTAATATATAAACCATGTGTATCGCTCTGATTAGAGAATCTTATGAACACTGATTGTAACTGATCCAAAATGTCCTTGTCCTGTAATATAATATTGTGATTATAATTTCGTTTGAAAAACAAGCTACCCAATTGATCCATGGTCAATAATATGGACCACCCAACAGTCAACAATAGCTATTATTTTGCCGACAAAAATATCATGGACAGATTAATGGAGGGCTTGATCCATTTATGGGAGACCATCCAACGGCTAGAATTAGCACAACCTAATCATGACCAGTGAAAATTCATAATAAGGTCTTGAATCCAATAACACCTACTCATGCATATCTCTATTTTTTTTCCTTCTTTCTTTTTCGTTTTGTTCTTTTACTTTTTGGTCTGCCAATTGAATTAATGGGGTATAGCTCAGTTGGTTGAGCAATTCTGCCTCTACCTATATGCAAAGAGGTTCGAAACCCCATACACCCAATCAATATTTATGTGTAAACCCACCTCCCTCAATCACTTGTACTAAAAAATAGGAAAGCACAAAAATGTAACTTATCTATATAAAGCTTATATGGTATTATTTTGTGACAAAGTATGTATCATGATTACCTCTTGGACAAGATCATCCCAAGCACCCTGAATGTGGGTCCCCAAGAGAAGGCCTAAGCCACTTTGGTCCGTGGGGTCCACTGAGGTCCTGCCCAAACAGGCAAGAAACATGGAGCCCCCTTTCTTGAGCTCCTTGGCTCTTGACCTGAGAAAGCTTGCCAAGTCTGTCTGGAACTGCTTCTTGTATGCATTGGCCGTGCTCTCATTTGCTCCATGAATGAACACCCTCCCTTTGTTGTAGGCTGCTGATCTCTTGTCTACAACACTCTCTGGCACCTGGGTTCCACGTAACACATAAAAGAATTATCAATTAATATGAGAGGGCATCTTGAAAGAAATGCTAACGAGACTTGCTCAAAAAAATGTCTCTACATAAACTTCTGCCAGATTATAATTTTGGATCAAGAACTAATGTTAAGTACGTTTAGTCCTCTTTACACAGCAAACATGATGTGACAACAAGCAAGTCCATGCATGCTCTCTTTTGAGTAAGTTTGGTTACTAAATGTTTCAACGGTACTGTTTGCACTACTATGGATCCGGATGTGGCATTTTACCCTTGGAAGCAAGCGAGTATTAATTAGCTTCACATATTTGTGATCACCAACCTAGAATTTTGTACATACTATATTATACTAAAAACAACAAGTAATTAAGTGACTAACAGTTAGCTAGTAAGTATCTATCACAACGAATAATGGATTAATTACCTGTGAAAGCCAATGCAAGGAAAACGCCGAGTGAAAAAGGTCAATGGACCTCGACGGGAAAAGCCTCCGGTAGAAGGAGCCGGGGACTCCCGCAGCGAAGTAGGAGCGGTGGCTGTCGGTGGCAAGGGCCTCCTCCATGCTGCCGCCGTGGTTGCCCAGAGGAGGGAGGAGCTGGAAGAGGGTGTTGAAGTCAGTGCTAGGGAGATCAGAGAAAAAGGCTGAGAACTCAGGTGAGTCATTTCCCAAGGCATCATAGCGCTTGGCCATGTGCTTGATGATCGCATCTACGGTGTTGATGCTGTTGCTTCCACTTGAGCATCCAAGGTCCGCAACCACAAAGGGGACTTCTGGAGAGCTCAGCTGCATTCTGTCTAGGGTTTCTTTAAGCAGGTGAAGCATGGAACTTGCATGTTTGGCCTGAAAAATTAAGGACAAAAGTATTATTGGCACATAAATTAAGCAACTTGAAATTTTGAAAAAAAAATTAATATAGTTAATGGACTAATTACCTGGGCTTGGGAATTATTAGCATAGCTTAACTCTCCTTTGCCTCCTTTCATGCTAAATATCTTCTCGAGATTTATACTTGAAACTGAAACATTGTCTCCCTTAGGAGCCATGAATATGACCAATTAATAAGAAGTATTTGAAATAAGATTAATACTGTGGTAAGGGTGAAAGAGAGGGAGGGGTTTTGTTTTTCAGAAGTGTGATACTAAATCACGATGTAGTGCATTTTGGAGTGCCATGATGCCGAGCTAACTCTTTAAGGCCTCATTTGTTAGGGAGGGCAAGACTAGATTAGCAAAATGCCTACATTTCATGTGCATTCAAGGCATAATATGGATATTGTTGTCTAACTTGGAGGATTAAAGAGGACTATTCATAAGAAGTTGATGATTAGGCATTTTACCAGACTAGTCTAGTCCTCTCTATCAAATATGTTTGTGTTGTCATTGTGTATGAACCTGGATTTTCAATATTATTGAATTTTTTCGTATTAATGTTATTATTAAGGTTTATTGTCCTTATACTTCAATGTTCTAGAGATGTTGGTCGTTTCTACTTTAATTTATTTTTGAAAATTTACTATACAAACGTTGTATTTGGTATTTCACATCCGTTAACTTCCGTTTACTCTTCACATCCTAAAATTTGTTTACACAACCCATTGCATGTCATAATTACATTTTTATCCCTATTATAAGAAGATAATGAAAAACAAAAAGTAAAATGAATAAAGATAATTTTTTTAAAAAATTAGTTAAAAATAACTGGTCCCACAAATTATTTAAAAATAATAAAATAATTTTTTTTTTAAATGATAGAACTTTGAGAAATTGTAAATAATAAAAAAAATTGTGAAACCACCTAACCTAACCCCCTGGGCCTCCGCCGCACTCAGCCTCACCCGCACGCAGTCCTCACTCCTATTCAGTGAAACTATCTCAGTCAAAATCTTCCACAACACATGCCTCTCAACCAACTCACGCCCACTTATTCAAGTTCAAATTTAGGTTCCCAGTTGCAACCAAAGACTCAAGCTAGAACAAATGATAATATTAGCCTTATGGATCAGATCTATTAGCCCATGGCACAATATGAGAGAAAACATGAGATTTGGGAAGAAAATCAGAAAGGAAAAGAAACTAACTTGCGCTTCGGAAAGGTTGGCATCTGAAGCCATATAGTCATGGTGTCCTTGAGCAGCCATATCAGATGACTTGAAATCGCAGTAGCCGCAAGAGATGGTGGTAGAGAGACGAGGAGGCGATGGTGGGTTTGACTGGGAGGCAGGGGCGGACGGATTAAGGGACAAGAAGGGTCGCTTGAACCCACGAACTGGCCGGAAAAATGGCTATGGATAGCCTGTGAAGGTCTGAGCAGAACGATGACCCCAAGAGATGCACGCAAGGTGCTCGACGAAAGGCCACAGAGGTTGTTTTGTTTGCTGTTGTGTGAGACCCTGAATATTACCTTAGATTGTTAGGCTCGATCTCACGATCATGTAGGAGAAAACGGTTCGTCAATCGGAGCCTCACAACCAAAGTTATGAAGTTCAGAAGTTTTTAAGAACTTTTAAAATTGAAGTTGCAGAGCTCTCCGAAGAAGAAGAAGAAAGACACAACACGTGTTTCGGGTTGTAATCCAGCGCTTCTGATTTTAATTCCTTTTTAAAATGATCCATTAGGAAGGCGCCACATTTCAATTTTTAATTGAACTAACTTCATAAACTCATTAAAAAGTCATATATGCTCTAAATTCATCCAAATCACATGTACTCTTGCTTAGATTAATTAGTATTAATTTTGGTTAGATTGATTGTTTAATTGACATGGATTTTGTTCATATTTGATAAGAATTTTGATAGACTAATTGTATAATTGATTCTTAAAAAAAAAAAAAAAAAATTGTATAATTGACATACATTTTGTTTATGTTAATTGATATACTATATAGACTACGGCTAGGCATTCAAATCGGTAACCTGGTCAAACCGTCTAAATCAAATTGATGGTTTGGGTTGGTTTGGTTTTTTATCAATTATCAGTTTGAACTCAAACCAAACCGAAATATATAGTTCAGTATACGGTTTACAATTTACAATATTGAAAACCACGATTTAACTAAACCAAATCGATGGTATTAAAAAAATATTATATATAATGCATAGTTTCAATCTTTTCTTTTTCTTCTCTCTCCATCTCTCCGTTTGTCTTGTCTTCATCAGTCCCTCTCTCTCTATTTTTTTTCCTCCTTCTTACATCTATCTTCACTCCCTCTCCCCATCTCCCCCCCTTTTTTTTTCCTTCTTCTTTTCTTCTTCTCTCTCTTCTTTTTCTCCTCCTCTTCTTCTTCTCCATCTCTCCCTCTTTTTTCTTCTTCTTCTCCTCTCCATCTCTCCCTCTCTCCATCGCTTTTATTTCTTCTCTCTCTCTCTCTCTCTCTCTCTCACGGTTAACCAAAGTGGTTAGTTTTCATCAATTATGGTTTGGTTTCGGTTTCCAAAATAGCCAAACCGAGACCTACGGTTCGGTGTTCGGATTGAACCCAAAATCGAACCAACCCAAACCAAGCCCACCCCTAATATAGACTATAGGCAATTAGTTATATCTCTTATCTCCTTTTTTTTTTGTTTCCTCTCTCATATATATTTTTTATTTATTACAAATATATTAATTAAATTTAAAAATATAGTAATTATCACGGAGGTGTGGAGCTCGAGGTGGAAAATATGGAGTGGAAATTACGGAGCGCCCCTGTAAAAAAAATATATTATTACTATAGAGCGGCCCCACGAATTACGGAGTTGAAATCATGGATGCATGGTAAAAATCAGAAACGGGTGTTATAATGGATGTCTATAAAAGGAAACAAGGGGAGAAAAAAATCACAACTCCTCAACTCAGAAAACAAAAAACCTAGCTCCGCTCATTTCTCACAACTCCTCAAACTCAGAAAAATCTAAACCCATCTCCTCAAACTTAGAAATAAAATGGCCTCTTCATTCTCATTTTCTCTCGATCTAAACCTAGCTCCGCCAAGTGTGGATGCCCTACTTTGCTTCCGCATGAGGACCAGTGACCATAAAAAACTCATTACTCCTTAACAATGATGTTGCCATTAGAGTTGCAAGGAGTTTGGTGACTTATAGGGATGTGCACGTGCTGGGAACAAGGGATGATAACCAGTTGGTGAGTGATGCCATGGCACTGAGCGTGCAAAGTGCGGCGTCAGTCGCAAGTGTGGGTCATCGCCTCATTGTGAAATCCCATGAGGTGCAAGTGCTAAGAAGTCAGTTGGTGGCAGAACATAACTTGGCTGTAGATTGTCAGAGTACTATAAGGGGATTGAAAAGGAAGAGGGCAAAGACTTTGGAAAAGGAAGAGGGCAAAGACTTTGGAGGAGAGGCGACACCAGCTTAAAATATTGCAAGAAGAGAATCAAAAGCTATCAAAGATGGTAGATTTTTACTCTAAGGACATGCAAGAGCAGCTGGAGGCCTTGGATTGACTGGGTAAACGTGTGGAAGGTGATCCAAGTTTTGCTAAACCTAAGAAAGGGATCTTTGGAAGCTCAAGTGATGAACCTCAAGAAGCGGTGTGAGAACATTGGGTCACCAAACCTTGGTAAGGGGGAAAGTGGGTCATTTTAAGTTCGAGGGGGCAAAGTGAGATTTGGCAGTAGTTTCAGGAGGCATTGATGTAATTAAGCCATTAAAATATTTTTTCCCCCATATTCAAGCTTTAATTTCTTTAAAGATAATAATATTAATTCTTTGGTTTTGATTAGGTATTCGGTTTTGATTTGTACCCAATTGAGGCGTAAACTCGTTTGGTTCGTGGAATGAATGTTTTGGGAATGAAACTCCCACCATATCTAATCCCAAAAGATTGGAGTGGAAGATGTTCATTTCTGTGTTTGGTAACATTGGAAAATACAGACCAGGAAATGTTACTTTCTCTCATTCTCATATTTGGTATGCAATATTAAGAATGGAAAGTTGATTTTTCCAATAATAGTCTTTTTTTATTTAAAGTTTCTAATTAAAGGTGGTATTTAAAAAGTAAAATAGAGGTAAGTTAGTTTTAAAATGGGCCAAGGTCCTAAACTTTGAACCAAACGACCCCTAGTGTTGGGTATTCAACTCTTTTTAATGGGAGATTCAGTTTGTTTATTTCGATGACGTTTATGGATTAAAATTCATTAGATTAATTTAATGATTAAGATTTTTTTTAAATGCTAGAAAAATATTCGTGTATATATATATATATATCTAGTCCTCTTCCATTGAGGGATCCCTCAAACTATTTTATTTAAGGGACATCCTTTAGGGTACCATGCTAATTTTTTTTCAATGATCCAAACCGTCTATTTTTCAAGTCTTCATTCATAGATCATCCATGAAAAAAATCAGACAAAGTGAAAATCATTAAGGCATTGAGACCAACAAAATCAATGAACACGATGCTTCAAGAAAGTACTTAAATTTTAATAACTTAATTAAATGGTCAAATGATATTGATTTTTTTATATATTTAATTTTATTTTTTTTTTGGGTTTTTAGGGATGATCTTTGAATGAATATCTATATATAATGGAAGCTCCCCCTCTCTCTCTCTATATATATACATATAATTTTTTTTAAATTTTTTTAACATATGATTATAGTAGTTTGAACCTAAAACCTATCACATGAATTAAGGAACAAGACCATCTCTATATGGATTTTGAAAAGCTTTACAATATATAAATAGAGACATTGCTAAAACAGGAAAGAGGGCCAACACCATCAGTAGTTTCCGATTAGGGAAACAATGGAGTGCATAATACTATTATGTATACAATTCTATACTTCACGTGGTTAGCAGCATTAAGAGATACAAACGTTTTATTATTACAAGAAAATGTGTATCTTCAATCTCCACTATAAAATAATTTGTGTTTGTCAAATTTGTTGTTCCCCAAAAATAAATTCAGGCAGAGATGATTAGGAAGCTCCATTAGAACAAATTATGTGTGTAGGATTACTACTCCAAGATGCAGCTTTAAAATTTTTTGTTCTTCAGAAAGTTCGATTTTGTTATTATCTTATGAGAACTTTAATAAATAATGGATAATGAGGATCAAAGAAATCTATTAAAAGCCAAATGATGATTGATTATTCTCTTATTACATTAACCATCCACCCCAGAAATTAGGGTTTAGTTTGTAGCTAACCCTTTTTCTAATTACTAATTCGGCTTCTAAACTTTATTGGATTTTGCTTAATTAACTACCAACATTAATCCACTATGCTAGTTTTCAAATATTGGGTCTCTATCCACCACTTTTAAAGAAGTGTAAAATTAGGTGGATTATTGCATAATAGGTAATCTCAAGGACTGGTCTCTCGTAAGGAAAGTTAGTGAGAACTAGGGTTTCTAGCGTTTTCGGGCAGCTACTTTTGGCGGTTACGAAGACATAATTTCTGACTGATCTTTTGAGACAGTAAGGGAGTGCGACGTTAGTTTTTAAAGGCTTTCTCTGTGCAACGATCGAAAACAACTGATAAGGAAAACTGTGACAATGTGCCCTCTACGACATCGTGCATGCTTCACCATGAGGAACTCGAACAACGTTTTGGAGCAAACCCGTGTCTCTCAGAGAGCCTAACCTGGCTAGAAAATTAAAAAAAAAACCTCGTGAGGCCCGGTCCAAACCCAATAATTTAGGATTGGACTGGGCCAACTCTCCTATTTATGAGTGCGTAGCAAAGAGGAAGTCTGCCTTCCTGATCAAGTATCATGCATGCATCAGGATTTGCAGCCAACAGAGCCTGGGCTATCTCAGTATGGCCCTGAGTGGAAGCCAAAGGGAGAACGCAACGTCCGAAGTGATCCAACTACTCTGTAAGTATGGAGTTTCTAGTGACAAATATGTTGGTAAAATCAAGGTGGCTGAGCAAAGCTCACACAAGTAAAGGAGAGTCTCTCGATGTTGTTAGAGAAACTCCTTGAAGGATGAGGGGTTCTTTATGGATCAATATGTTTATCGACACAACAGATCCAGTATTTGCTGCCTCACACAATAATTTTGTATCATCTCTGTTGTCTTCAGCATTAATCCCTATTCTCGTCTAGGCCCGCCTTAGCCCATTTAGTCTCGGCTTGTTAGGGCCTTTTTTTTTAAATCCCTAACATTATTTTAGACTTCATCAAAATAATGAAATATGTAGAATAAATTAATAAACTTCTTAATTTGTTTACAAATGTTATGAATCAAGTTAATTTCTTTAATGTTGTCTAAAAATTTGTAACAAGAACTTATAAAAGACATTGAACTATAACTCCACATCCAAATGCACTCCTTCACTTTATTTAATACTTAATTGAAATAATGTAACATGTTGCATGAATTAATAAAATTCTTAATTTTATTTTACACATGTTATGAATTAATTACATTCATATTTTTAATGTTGTCTAAAAATTTGTAATAGGTACAAAATACTTAGAAAAAAATTATATTTAAAAAAAAAAGGGCTCGCCCGTAGTGGCAGATCCATGAATTTTCATTATATGGAGGTCAACGTGTAAAAGGTTAAAAAAAATTCTATACAAAATAGATCCATCGAAATGAAACGATAATATTCTAATTCATAGTTAATATATAAAACCATACAAAATACTCATGTTCATTATCAAAGAGAATTGCACCAATTTCAAAAAATAGACACACACTGCAATAAACCAAAAATATCTCTAAGAATATGATAATAAACCAAAAAATTAACGCAATCCTCTTCACCTCCCAAGGCGTCTCGTCTTATTCGACGTAAAAGCTGGCATGTATTAGTGCAATCCTGCTCATTTTAGGGCATTTATGTCATTTTTTAGGTCCATCGTCGTTTTGATTTTGGGCTTTATCTGCATTTCTTTGGGCTCTAGCTCTCAAACTTTGGACCCTTATGAGTACTGTCTCAGGGGGAGCTTATTCAAGCAAATATTTCTTCAATACGTAAGAGTTAGATTATTCTTGTAAAACTCTTTGTGGATAAACATCTAAAGGCTTTTTACCTAGATTGACCTTAGATCCCTTTATGCATTCATATCATACATGAAAAATTATTTTATGTAAAAATATTGGCTAAGTATATTGCCATAGGTCCTCTAGTCATATTGGAAAATAAAATTGGAAAATTTTAATTAGGTAAAAGCCTAGGTAAAGTATATGGATTTGGGTAAAGTACACGGTGTTTCAAGAAAATACAAAAATTACAGTAATTTAATTGAGTGGTCAAATGATATCGAATTCAAGTGATATTTTGCATTGATGATCTTTGAATGAATATCTATAAAATAGATTATGCGATAGATGATTATTCTTTCCAAAATCACCATAATCCGAAACCCAAATCCATATACTTTAATAATAATAATAATAATAATACTAAGAGTGTGTTAAAAAAAGCTTAGGTTATGAAATTGCATAGCCATTAATTAATTAAGTAGTAGTGAGGCGTCGGTATGGAGTTGTGTCAGCTTAGGAAGAAGTTTAGTCATAACGATCTGGTTATTTCAGTAGTTTTAACCCTACCTTGAGAGCGTGTCTGTTCTTATATTATTTCCTCTAAAGTGGAGTCATGTCTATAGACGATGGGATTTCAAATTGCCTACAAACTGCTTGATGAAATGCGCCCTCCAATGGTGGATTCCGGACTTGCATGGGTCAATTGACCCCTCTTGCCCCTTATATGGATCCGCCCTTGCTCGCCCGCCAAGCCTGTCAAGTCCCGAGCCCAACTCAACCAGAAAATTCAAAAAAGCCAGAAGCCAATAGTTTAGGGCCGAGTCGGGTCAACTCTCCCATTTGTGACTGCGTAATGAAGAGGGAGCCTGCCTCCCTGATCGAGTATCATGCATGCATAAGGACTTGCATCCAACAGAGCCTCGACTATCTCGGCATGGCCTTTAGAAAACGCCAAGTGGAGAGGGCAGCGTCCGGAATGCTCCAACTAGTTTGTAAGTATGTAGTTTCTAGTGACAACTGTGTTGGTAAAATCAAGGTGGTCGAGCATAGCAGACACATGCAAATGAGAGTATCTCATGGTTTTTAGAGAAACTCTATGAAGGATGAGGGGGTCTTTCAGGATCAATGCGTTTAAGGACGCAACAAACCCAATATGTGCTTCCTCACACAATAATTTTGTATATTCTCTGTCATCTTTAGTAGTAATCTCTATTTTCGTCTAGGCCGAAATAAGCTCGTTTAGGGCCATGTCGCCAATGCCCTTTTTAAAAATAAAAAAATTAATCCCTAACCTTATTTTAGACTTAATTAAAATAATGAAATATGAAGGATAAATTAATAAACTTCTTTTTTTTTTACAATGTTATTAATCAAGTTAATTTGTTCAATATTGTCTAAAAATTTGTAACAAAAACTTATCAAAGACATTGAACTATCCACATCCAAGTGCACTCCCTAAACTTATTTTATACTTAATTGAAAAAATGTAATGTGTTGCATGAATTAATTAAATTCTTATTTTTGTTTTACACATGTTATGAATTAATTATGTTAATATCGTCAAGTCTCGAGCCGAACCCATCCAGAAAATTCAAAAATGCACATGAGTTGTGTAGTGAAGAGGGAGTCTGCCTTCCTAATCAAGTATCATGCATGCATAAGGATTTGCAACCCTAAACCCTAAATCCTCCTTAATCTTAAGAAGCCAAAAGTCATGCTCATTGCAAAATAAGTAAATAGAAATTATTAAGAAAAAACAAAATTGACTATATATATATTTTTTAAAGACCCGGAATCTTGCTCTTGCTTTGCTCTCTATTTTCAACCCTATATATGGCCCTTTTTTTGGCAACTTCTTTGTGTCTCTGTGAAAGTCTACAACACACCGTGATGGTCGCCGGTTCACATGAAAGAAGGCCGGACCACTTTTTCTTCTTCATCTTCTATCACCTTTATCTTTAACTTCCCAATCAACTACCCTATAAAACATAATATATAATACATATATATAGGCATACATAGCTTTTGCTTTTATAATTCTACTCCACGTTCCTCCCAATTAGACCATGCAAAAGGTGATCACTTACACTCTTCTATTTATTATAATAGTAAGTGGATGGATTTGAGCTAATCACTCTGCTTTGAATTGATTTTGGTCGTCGAATTGTTAGTAGTAAAATAACTTGATCTAATTTATTATATTTTTTGGGCTTTGTTGAAGAAAAGGGTGAGAAAAGTTAAGAAGTAGCTGAGTAGCCATGGAGTGGTAAAAAAAAGAGATGGTAGATATTTTCCATTTGCCATGCGGCCTCTCTCATTTGGATTTGGATATATGGGGTCAAGGACATAGAAAAGGGTTAATTATTGCAAGGCACTAACTAGTGTGGTGCCTATGTACATAGGTAACAATTTCTGTGGCAATGTACAAATTTAAATAAATTAGCTTGTAATTAGGAAATTGGTCATCATAAGTAAACTCGAGAAATGTGATTTTACCTATATGCATGATTGACACCGCTTGAAACATATATTTTAGTGGGAAAGATTCTGTGACTAGAAAATGCTTATCCATTTAGAACACTCCTTATCCAAGAAGCATAATTTTGTAACTCATTGGAGGAACAGCCTTTCCACAATCACTCCAATACAGCCATAGTTTGGTACCAAATTTATGAGGCAAAATCAAACATGGGGTTGGACAAAGATAAAGTGGTATAGATATTCATGAAAACATTTACTAGGTTTTAGCCTCTTCCATTCTTTTATTTTTATATATTATAAAAACAGCACATATGATGCTCCAAACAGTTATATATATATATATAATATATATATATACTATATATATTATATATACAAACACAAAGAACTTCAGTTCAGTTGAGGGATCCCTCAAACTCGCTAATTAAGCAAGAGAAAGTGATGCCACTACATGAAAGAATTGTATCTGCTCTAGTAGCTCTTTGGCTTGGCTTGTCCCCCTTTTTTCAACTCTTGAAAACAACTCATTGCCAAGGTGGTCACCGATGTGTGCATCGACAAGCACTCCAGAGACACTCCTACAACTGTTTGCAAGGGCTCGACCGACTTCAGCTGCATCATCAGGTTGGTTTACTACAAGGGGGCTTCCTCCTTTGAAAATCTCAAGCTTGTTTATAGTGAATGAGCCATCAACTTCCACTACTTCCTTGAAGTCTTGTAAGCTTGAGGCGTACACAGGAATATTGAAGTTGTCACGTTTTTCACTAGTGATAAGACCCTGCAAAAATTGATAATTATGAGTTATATTAATCTATGGATCACAATTTTATATGTCAAAAGTAGTAATAGGTGATACAAAAGAATAATCTAAACCTAAATATTTATTTTACTAAATTTATCAGCATATTGTCGATCACACATTTTTAAACTGATCTAAATGTGCTTGTCCTGTGATATAATATTATGATTATACTTTTGTTTTAAAAACAACCCAATTGATCCATGGTCATTAATATGGATCACCCAGCAGTAAAACAATAGTTATTATTTAGCCGAGAAAAATCAAAGGGACAATTGGAGGGGTTGATCAATTTTTGGGAGACCATCCAACGGCTAGAATTAGCACAACTTAATCATGATCAGTAAGAAGTCATAATAAGGTCTTGAAACCAATAACACCAAATCATGCATATATATCTTTTTTTCACACAGCACTTTGCATATATACAACATTATGCATATAATGTTTAATTTGTATCATTATTACCTCTTGGACAAGATCATTCCAAGCATCCTGAAAGTGGGTCCCAAAGAGAAGGCCTGGGCCACTTTGGTCAGTGGGGTCCACTGATGTTCTACCCAAACAGACAAGAAACATGGAGCCACCTTTCTTGAGCTCCTTGGCTCTTAACCTGAGAAAGCTTGCCAAGTCTGCCTGGAACTGTTTCTTGTATGCATTGACTGTGCTCTCCTTTGCTCCATGAATGAATACCCGTCCTTTGTTGTAGGCTGCTGATCTCTTGTCTACCACAGTCTCTGGCACCTGGGCCCACCCAAGACATAAAAATATCATTGAATTAATATTAATATGACCATGTCTAAAATTTGAAATTTGTACTTCAAATAGCTATTGAAATCCCAAGCAAGCATTTTGCATAAAGTAGCCTCACACACAGTGTTTTTGTTTCATCCTTTTTGGTCAAACCATTTGCAGCTTTCAGTTGCTGGGAAGTTGTTAATCTAGTTTTGTGCCTAGAATTTTGCACCTTGCTTCTATGTTATACTATAAACAATGAAGTAATTTAAGCGACTAAATTAAATTAGTGCAAGTATCTATCTATATATATAGCACAACTAATTATGGACTAAATAATTACCTGCGAGAGCCAATGCAAGGAAAACGCAGAGTGGAAAAGGTCAATGGACATCGCCGGGAAAAGCCGTCGGTAGAAGGAGCCCGGGACTCCAGCAGCAAAGTAGGAGCGGTGGCTGTCGGCAGCGAGGGTCTCCTCCATGCTACCACCGTGGTTAGCCAATGGAGGGAAGAGTTGGAAGAGGGTGTTGAAGTCATTGCTAGGGAGATCAGAGAAAAAGGCTGAGAACTCAGGTGGGTTATATCCCAAGGCCTCATAGCGCTTGGCAATGTGCTTGATGATCACATCTACGGTGTTGATGGTGTTGCTTCCACTTGAGCAACCAAGGTCCGCAACCACAAAGGGCACTTCTGGAGAGCTCAGTTGCACTCTGTCTAGGGTTTCTTTAAGCAGGTGAAGCATGGATCTTGCATGTATGGCCTGAAAAATTAAGGGAAAAAGTATTTTGGCACAGCAACTTGAAACATAATGAAACTTTGATGAAACAATTAATATAGTTAATGGAATAATTACCTGGGCTTTGGAATTGTTAGCATAGCTGGACTCTCCTTTGCCTCCTTTCATGCTAAATATCTTCTCGAGCTTTATACTTGAAACTAAAACGTTGTCCCCCTTGGAAGCCATGAACATGATCGATTAGAAAGAAATATTTTTAATAAGATTGATACAATGGTGAGGGTGAAGGGAAGAGTTGGTAATTGGGGAGTATATATAGAGGGAGAGAAAGAGAGGGAGGGCTCTTGTTTTTCAGAAGAGTGTGACAATAAATTATGACATTTTGGAGTGGCATATGATGATATCGAGCAACATCTTTAATTGTGTTCCCTAATGTGCACCAAGTTGGCGCAATGCTGTTTAATTAGCTTAAAAGTATGGCCCTATGTGTTCGTCATTTTGTCTACACTTTGATTTTCAATATTATTGAACTTTTTGATATTTTGTCCTTTATTATTATGCTTCAATATCCTAGAGATGTTGGTTGTTTCTACTTTTTTTATATTTTTTTTTGACAATTTACCACAGAGACTTTGCCTTTGGTGTTAATGCATCACCTCCCTTAACTTCCATCTTTTCTTCCCTTCAAAAATTCCAACACCCTAAAATTTGTTTACACACCCATTTCATGTCATAATTATTCTAATTTGATCCCTATAGTAAACAAAACAAAATGACCCACCCCAACACCCAAACCCATGAGAGCTGCTCCCCCATACGAGAGAGAGAGAGAGGATGGTGGTCGGGAACAGTTGGCCGCGAGGGATAGGAGGGAGTGGAGGTGGTTACCATGGGTGTGGGTTAGTGTTCCTAATCATTTATCTTTTGTTTTCTTTTAATTATAGAGCAATTAAAGAAATATCCTTTGTAAGTCACCCATGTGCACATGATTTAATAGAAAATTTGATCAATAAGAATTTTGAATTTACAAGGGGACGGGTTCACACAGACCCAAAATTTTAAATTAGGGTGGGCTAAATTTACATTATGCACAAACCTATTAAGAAGATAGAAAACTCGATAATACAAGTGAATTTCATTGATCACAAAAAATATATCCTAATCAAGAGGATATAATGAGCTTTACCCCATAAAATTCATCTAGTACATATCTCTTTTCTGTTTTCTACGTGCAGGGGTGTGTGAAGTGAAGGACATATTATTTTCTACCAGAAAAGAAAATAGGGGGTTGTTTTTTACCCAAAAATGGGTGTTTAGACTTTGGCCCTTTTTGTACCAAAAAACAAATAAAAAAAGGTGAAGGGTTAGGGTTGAGGTAACTGACCCTGACTATATCTTAATATTTATGGTGCAAAATTGAAACCACAAAAAAAGAAAAAAAAGAAAAAGAAAGAAAAAGTCCAAAAAAACAAAAACAAAACAAAACGAGTGACCATATATTTTTATTCTTTTTAGTGTGATGTGCTCAGTGAAAAGTCATAAGCTCATAACGGTGGAGTATCCACGTGGCGCATAAGCAATAAAAAAGTGCAGAGCATGGTTGTCTATTAGCTAGGCTGGGTATATTAGTTTGGGAGATTCACTATTATAGAAGAGAGACAAAGTCACCGGTGGAGTATCCACGTGGCACATAAGCAATAAAAAAGTGCAGTGCATGGTTGTCTATTAGCTGGGCTGGGTAAATTAGTTTGGGAGAGATTCACTATTATACCCAATAAGTCCTGATCTCTTGGACCACAGGGGTCCAAGAAATTTGTGGTCACTCACCGTTGGATGTAAATTCAACAGTTCACTCGATCTTGCACTCCTTTTAAGGAACTTTTTTAAACTATTGGATTAATATCCAACGGTGAGTGACCAGAATCTCTTGGACTCCTGTGGTCCAAGAGATCAGGACTGTATACCCAATATAGGAGCCCAAATTATAAAAAATAAAAAAACCATATATGAAATGGAGTTTAGAAACACACTTAAAGCTCATTTACAACATAACAAAAAGGCTTTTAACTTCTTTTAAATTACAAAATTGTCATTGATTTCTTAAAACAAACCCAACTCCGAAACCTCATACAAAATCCCAAAACACTCAATAGGGCATCAAAGTAATTTAATAATCAAAATTAAATTCAATAGGGTCAGCTGTCACTTTTTGTGTTTTTTTTGGGTTCGTTTATAGAAATTAAATGGTGTAGGGTTTATCTATAGTATTAGTACTAAAAATGGGTATATGACTAAATATCTCTATTTGTTTAGGTTGAAACGAGACAAAGTCACCTGGGCTATAGCCTAGATTAGCCAAAGAATAGGTCCGTCCCGTTCACTACCGTGACCAAACTAGTCTAAACCATATATGCATACATTAGTTGAGTTTTAAAATATAATTAAGGGCTAAAATAGATTGACCTAAACTACAAGGATAAAAGAAAGGACAAAAAACGCAAAGCAACAAAACTCACGCATATGAAGATCTATAAGTCCGAAAAATAAGTTTTGACTTTTTAAACATGTACCCTCACCCTTCCTCGATGCCAAGGATTAATAATCCTACGAATTCGAGGATGAATGATGAAAATAAAAAATTGAAAGAAAACATGAGATTTGGAAGAAAAATTAAACAAGAAAAAGAAGTATAAAAAAACTAACCTGGGCTGCGGAAATGTTGTGATCTTCTTTGCCTCCATCCAAGCTCTCAACCTTCATATTATCAGAAATACAAGTATATGGTTCTACGGTAAAAATGATGCTAAATTTTTCCAAGCATATTCAGTGAGGGATATCGTATAATAGCAGTAGGAATGAAAAGAAATCCAGCAGGGATTGAGATGGCGTAGTGTTGTAAATAAATAGATAGGTGGATGACGACTCCCAAGGTGCAAATGTTAGATAGTTCCACTGAGTAACTGAGTTAGTTAATGATCTGTCATATTAGTTAGTAAGTTGTTATATTGAAAGCTGTAAGTAGTTAACAAGCTAAGAGAGTTTGTTAATTTGTTTTACAGATTGGTTAGCAATCTAGGCTAAAGAAGCTGTCAAGGCTTTAGTGTTTACCCTAAATCGTCCTAGCCCTAGAAGTAGGCCAAGAGATTGTATTTTTGGACAAATAATTAATGAAAACGGGTGTAGTTTATGAAACCTCAAGGGGTTTTGTGAAAATGCCGAAAATCTCACGAGGTGTGTGTGTAAATAACTCTTTATAGAAAGATGGTAAAGTTAACTAAAAAATACGTTCAATAGTATAATTATTTAAAAAAATAATAATAATTAGTTCTATTAATCTCAACCATTCATTGCAGTCTATAAAAAAAACATTCATTCATTGTAGGTTAATCTAATGGTTGAAAATTTGTGTAAAATTAGTAGTGCCACAAATTTGCTCCTATCCTATATATATTTATTTATTTACGTGAGATATATACTTTGAACCTAAAACCTATCATGTGGCCAACGATGTCTAGTTCAGTAGCAGACTAGTGATTTTAAGCTTGAAACCCTATTACACCTTCACATTGTGTGTGAGAAAAACCCCATTCCTCAATATCACTTATATAAAAATACAAATAAAATAAAAAAATAAAAAAACCTATATGACATGAATTGAGGGCCATGACCATCTCTATATAGATTTCAGAAGGCTTTAAAATATATCAATAGAGACCATGCTAAAACAGGAAACAGGGAACACCATCAGTAGTTTCCGATTAGGGAAACAATGGAGTGCATAATACTATTATGTATACAATTCTATACTTCACGTGGTTAGCAGCATTATGAGATACAAACGTTTTTATTATTACAAGAAAATGTGTGTCTTGCATTTTCACTATAAAATAATTTAGAGGGAATTATTGGCCAATAATCCTCCTAAAAACGTAGAATGGCAACCAACAATAACAGACTGATGAACAGAAGATGCCAACTATGTTTCTTAAAGTTAAGCGTGTTGTCAAATTTTTTTGTTCCCCAAATGTAATAAATTCAGGCTGAGATGATAAGGAAGCTCCATTAGAACAAATTTTGTTTTATTTATTTATTTATAAAAAGCAATAGAAATTTATTAGATCAAACATGAAAAAAGAAAGAGTACAAAGAAAAAAATATTGTAAATGGAGCCATTCCAATAGTAGCGCGGTGGACATGGACAAAACCTTCCCAAGTGACCTGACCCAACCAAAAAGCTTCAACAATCTGGAGAGAATCACTCCCACAAATAACTTTTCTAAAACCACTATCTACCGCCATAGTTGCCTCAAATCTAGTCCAATTACAGCAAGGACATGTCACTAACCGGCATGACTCTCCTAAAAAGACTACAAAACCCAGCAAACTTAACCAAGTTTCTAGAATTATGACTGAAATAAGACATAGATATGTCTTAATCCACATAAGTGTGGTCTTCTAATCATCATAGGAGATCTACTAAGGGCTCGATATGGATAAGACTTTTGATTCTAAGGGAAGTTGTGTTTAACTGTATTCCTAAGGCCTAAAGGTTTCCTATGTTCGATTGAATTAAAACTCCCAATACAAATGCTACTAGGAGAGGTCGAGGGTTTCTTGAGCAAACCTTGACTGATGCATATAAATACATGGTCCCTGCTCAATCGATCACTACCACTCGAGATAACTCAAACCCCATCCGTGAGAGTGTATATGGGTGTTGTGTGAAAACACTCCAAAAACCTTGTCGTTGATGGACTACGCAACCGGCACACACACAAACCACTTGAGAATAAATTGAACACATCACAAAGAGAGTAATGCAAAGACACAAGAACACAAAGATTTATAGAGGTTCGGCCTCGTGCTTACGTCCTCTTGGTGATTCATCGAGCAATTCACTAGTATGTAAGAACACCTTTGGTTACAATCAAGAACCCCCTTAGATCTCACAAGAACCCTAACTCCCTTTTCTCTCACCCTTACTCAAACCCTTTGATGCCCTTGTAAACACCCAAGAATTGACCATGTTGAATTCTCTTGAAAACTCTCAATCTTGAGTTTTCTCTTTGTCTACCTCTCTTCTAAATTAACCTAGCCCTAAAAGTCCTATTTATAATTAGGATTATTCGCAGCAATGGTCCCTCAACTATACCCCAAGTTACACTTTGGTCACTCAACTCAAATATTAGTTGCAGAGGTCACTCAATTAGGTGTTTTGTTGCACCGTTAGTCCTACCGTCAAGGCTGTTACTTTTTCTGTTTAAA